TTTAAAATCTGTAAAAACAGACTACCGGTAAGTTTCATTCATTTTTGGTGAAATTAACTGCAGAGATTATACTTAAATGTTCTATAATGTTATTTTACAATAGGAAACTGTTCACTGAGCCTCTAAAAACAAAATGAAACTGTTGGAGCTTGTGGTCAAGCAGCCCTGATAAATGGACAAATACAACCTCATGGAAAAAAAACACACGACCAGAACATGAATTTTAAATGAGCTGTGTGCTGGCTGGCCGGTTTATCCCGATGGCTCCATGACGCTGCATGACACTACAAACTTTAGCCTCTTTTATAAAACAATGCTGCCAATTTGCTGTGAAGCTGAGGCAGCCTCTGAGAGCCTTTGGTGGATTATAAGTGGTCAGACTGAGGTGCAATCGTATCTTTCTTACAAAAGAATCTGTGATTGTGGTATAAAGGGTGTATGGGGGTGGTCTCTGTGCTGTCACTGACTTCCCTTTATCTTTTTCATAATTTGTTTTAACTGCAATTGAAGCCGTGCTCCTTATCTTTTTTTGACAAGTCGATCGTAAAGGTGTTCGTCCGCCACATTCCTCGTGAACTGTCTGGTTATCTGAGCTTCTGCTCTAACAGAGAAGCTCCTGGAGATCTGCATCGCTCCAGTTTACCATCTCAGCTTACTTTCATTTCCAGTATCACTGCCAGCCCAGGGATTTGCAGTAATTTCATGTTGCACCAATGCATAATCTTCATTCACAAGTCTGGCGTTGCAGTAATATTGCTACCAAGTGTCGGGGCACAAATATCGCAAAAGTCCAGCATCGCATGCTGGTGGTGAGGTGGTGTGGACGTTATTTTTTGGATGGGCGGATATTTGTTTAGAAAATTAAACATCTACGTGTGGACAAGGTCTTAATTTTAACACCAAAACCACAAGAGCTCAGCAAAATCGACAATTTAGTGAAACCCCACCTCTAAGTAGGAATTTACAGAAGCCAAACTGAACTCTCCTTTCTGCCTGCTCATTAGCTGTGTTCATAGACAACAACACTTCCCAGCAAAAACAGAATCAGACTTGTAAAACAACTCCTTAAAATTCATTTGGAAACAGAAAGAAACATTCCATCTGTGACACTAAACAGCTCAGCTGGCTTCACTTCCAGTTTGGCTGCTCTGAGCCTAGAGCGTGCAGTTAAAGCAGAAAGAGGGTTATATGTAGTAAGGTGAGAGACACTCAGAGGGCAGTTTGATGGGTGGGTTATGGTCCAATCATTAGGAACGGGACGTGCACAATGATTGGATGTTGTTTCTGCAGGGTTTTACGCTTCAGAGGCGATTAAAATCATTAATTTTTTACAAAACGTGATTTATTGGTTGCCATGTATATGTAAAGATAATTTCAGGCAACATGACGAAAAATGACTGAGAAAATCCTCTCATACTGCACATTTAATGAACACACACGAAGTCAAAGACATTATTGTCCACTGTAGAAAGACAAAGGTAAGGAGGGACAATCAAAAAGGGAGGTGCAGAGCTTGGCTTTTGCATGACATTTTGCATGAAGCTGGAGGGTTGTGCCACACACAATTATAAGCCAAATTATTTTCAAATGAGAAAATAAAACTCAAACTAGAAATTCTTTGGTAAGCCAAATAAAAGTTTGTAACCTCATGCTGTAGGTTCTGTGAACAAAAAAGTTCTAGCTTTCTTGTACTTTGCATACCTTTACATGCCAGGATAGATAATCTATTTATAAAACTGCAAACACTGTCCATTAGAGAATAAAGCATCCAAATGATGCACCTGCATCTGCACACACAGACTGATCAGAGATCTCATGAAATCACCAACAGCATCAAGTTCCAGGGTTTAAGAGCCCAGAAAGTGCGTCACAACCGCCAGCAGGGATGAATGATCTTTTAATGGCACCCCGTGGTCATCAGTCAAAGAATAAAGTTTCAAAGGACAGGATGACTCTTCTGGACGGTTAGGATCATGACACAACACCTATTGGATAGAATTTGATCTGAGATGAGTATCACCTCACCAAGAGCTCAGACTGAGCCATGGATAAAAAAAGAGCCATTTGACCTTCGATCTCCAGCTATTTTTGTAAGATCTCTTGACAGCCTTTCTTTTACAGTGACTGTCTGAACAATAGGGTCATTGTTTAATAACAATAAGGTTATGAACGCAATGATAATGAACAGAGCTGTAAGACAGATGCGTCATACTGCAAATCCGGAAACAACAAAGACTTCTAAGGACGTTTAAAAAATAAAAAACCAGGTGTTCTTCAAAATGTTTCCTTAAAAGAGACAATGTGTAGTTTTTATTGTTTTTCTCTGGAAACATCCATCGAAACGTTGTTGAAAATGAATAAAACGATGTCCAGTTGTTGAAAAATATTGGCGGCTTTGTAACATATAACCATAAAAAGCAGGTCTAAAGGTCACAGGGTCTAGAGTCTTTGGGGGCATAGACGCCACGTTTCCTTCTGGCCAGCTCGGGGTCTTGCACCTGTCGATGACATCACACTAGATGATTGACTGGATGTATGACTTACGCAGGTTACCACGTTCACAAACATTTAGGTAGTAAAACACAAATTTAATACCAAAACTCATAAACTCTTTCCAAAACACGTGAACGAACAGAATATAAAAAAAAAGATGCAGTACATTTTGGCCGAGCAGTATGACATCATTAGCAGGCGCAGATTCGGAAACTACAGCACCAGAAAACTACAATCGGCATTGCGTTATCTCAGAATTAACTGAAGGAGTCATGCAGAGGTTGCATGCTTTCTGCTCCACAGGTAACATTTACCATATTTATTTTAATCAAGTGACAGTCACGATCGATATGGTGCAAAACTACCCTGAAACGTATGTGCTGCCGCCTAGCGCTAGCAAACTACACGCTGCCACTTTAAAGTGTCTCACAAGCAGCTAAAGATGAAAACCAACTCCTGATTGTTTTTAAACTGGGTAATGCATGTTTACTTTATGCATAAGTAATAATCATTATTGGCACATGCATATCCAATGCACCCAGATGGCTACCGAATACGGACTCCAAAGAAGCTAGTTAGCATAGATAGTTTTTGGCGTAACTGCAGCAAAGCAGATGCAACGTATCAAGTAAGATTAACAAATTTGCACATTTTTATGTACTTATATTTATGCAGCAGAACACAGAATGAGGGTCACAATTCAGTTAAAAACTCATAAAGCTCACAACACTCAAAAGAAGTCTTTAACTCTGAAAATGAGCTTCAGAAACTTGTGACAGTTTGTTCTTGGCTGCTGAGTCGTGGACTTTTAAAGTTTGTTTCCCTTCTGCTGCAGACCCAAAAACGTAACCCTATCTTTACATATCAGGGTCATGTTTCTCAGTATTCTGGGGCTTCTAACAACTAGCAGCGCTTAGATTACCACAGAGGAAGATTAACTTGTGCGTCAGCTGATTTCCCAGAAACGTTGCCTTAAAAAAAAAAAAAAAAAAAAGGGGGGGGCGAGTTGTTGCTACAGGGAAGTAGAGCGGCTCTCAGCCAATAGGGTGAAAGGCAGATCCTCCAATCTCAAGTTTCATGGTTGGTGGTTGGTAGAAAAGCTGCTTTCAAATGAAGCAATCAAAATGACTCATTTAGTTATGAAACTTCTCTTTAAAATCACCCACATATGCATCTAGAGACACACTTCCCTGCCAGGATCACCAGGAAGTTAGAAACTTTGTAAATACAATGTCCACATACTCCAGTGTGTGGTGAAGTCTGAGTTTAGTGTTTAAAATTGTTTTTCAGTTTTATGGTTCTCCTCAGATCACCTGTGCCCATCGATACTCAAATGTTTGAAGACAATAGTTTCAAAACCACTCCTTAGAGCCAACCCTGCCCAGGAATGAACTGTTGGAAGATTTCTTCGGTGCTTTCAGTTTGCAGCTGCATAAAGCAGACGCAGCTTTCCCACAACAAACCACTGCTGCTGGAAAATATGACACGATAAACTAGTTCACTGGAGAACTTTTTCACCAGAACTGATTCATGCACTTTCAAGGTGAGGTTGGTTATGAGCTCCCCCAGCTCTGTATACTGGTGGGGATTTGCACATAAATGAACTGTGCAAAACATGTTTTCCCTTCCTAGTCATGCAAATCACTTCAAGTACTACTAAAACCTTAAAAACACATAAAATTAAGCTTTAGGAGGTTTTCTGGCAGAATTATTTTGCATTTTCACCTCCAAGATGCTGCAGCCGAGTTTGCAAACAGCCTGCTCTGTTAGACTGTCTCCACTCCCTAAAGCACAACAGCCCATTTCTCACAATGAACTACTCCCAGGTAACTAGGGTGGTGGCCAACTTCATTAACCTGAGGAGGTCTGCTGTGGATTGTCTCCATGGCAACTTCTTACATTTCCTCTCTAGACCTTGATGAAATATGTTTGCTCTGTAACCCCAGACTACAGCAGGAGTTGAACAAACAAGGGCGAAGCCACAGATTAAGGATTTCCTCCATTTGAAGATTGATACGGTCCTGGCAGAGATAAGGACCTCCAACAGGTCCAAGTAAAAAAATGAGGATAGGAGTATTTTATAGTTCTATTGTCCCTGCACCCAATCAAATGCATGTTTTTGTGACTTGAGTCACCAGGTCCTAGGCAGATGTCAGCCAAGACAGGAAACTCTACATGAGTCTAGCTGGTGCAACAGCTTTGCAGAGATGTCAACACTGCAACTTTGAAAAACAGCTGCAGCTTAGCACATTTTTAGGTAGAGGCGCTAGTCTCAAATTTCTAGGAAATGGCAGCCAGTGCTGTATTGGAAATGTGGTGTTAAAAAAAAAAACCACCACAGCAATATAGGAGGCAGATGTAATCAGTCTTTGTTTGCAATTTTCATTTTACCCAGAGAGACACATCAGTTTGAACCCCTGCTCTATTCTTGTGGCTCACTCCTGAATCTAAACTATTGCTCATTGTTATGAGGCAATTTATTCTCAAACACAATTGACTTCAATTAGTAAGGAGCTAGTTCTTTATTTGTCCAGGAGTTATTTTAACCTCTTGTTACACAAAGTCCAAACGCCCAGAAGTGTCCAGGTCTTTCTGGAGGAAGGGAGGAAAAAAAAAAAAAAAAAAAAAAAGTCCAGCAAGTTGCATATGTGCAAAAATCCAATTATGATATCAAGTATAGAAACTCCACATCTTTAGTTTCCGGTCATTCAGGCATCAATATGAAGGTATTGAGGGAACTGTCTGAAAACTGGTGTCATGCCTGCACAACTTAAAATAAAAAAAAAATATCCCCCAAGTTAACATGGCACATGATCTGTAACAAAACAGCCTACCTACATAAGAACGAGCAATCGTGAGTGAAAAAAAAAACAAAAACCTGATTAATAGAGCAATTTCAAGGCTTCACATATTTACATTTTACATTTATTTAAAAAATAAATCTGTTTTAATTAAATACAACATGTTACAAGGGAGGCTGGAGAAGATGCCCACAAAAAAAAGTTTTGCTTCTTTTCCTTCTTCCATCCAAACAAAAGCAGGATATGATGAAATTACAACAAAGAGTCCATAAAGAAGTCTCTGAGTCCATCAGATTCACCTGATCAGCAGGGCTAGAGTCGCCCCCATGCCTGCTACCCCAGCTATGGCCATCAGTGTGTTCCTGACTGTTGACTCTGGGTCTGTTACACGAAAGAACTCCACAAAGCCTTGCTGTAAAAGCAATTAAGAGAGAAAATGCACATTAGAAAGAGATCTGAGGTCCACCAACAGACCAGACTATGTGGAGACCAAGGACAGTTACATAACCCTGGAATGTTTCCACGTCCTGTCTCTCAGCTAGAACTCACCCATGAGTTGTTTCTGAGCAGAAAGTCTCTCTGTTGAGACAACAGGTAGGTTGAAACCTCATGGCTGACTAGCTCTACGTTGTTTTGCCTCCCGTTGTCCTTCTGGTACTGGGCCACCACCGCCCCGAAGGCCAGCAGGCTCACGATCCGACCCCAGTTGGTGATCCCGTCTGAAAACATGTTTTCTGCCACTTTGCTGATGAACGTCAGGTCATCGGAAGTGCATTTCGCAGCCATACCTGGAAAAATACAATTTTACGTCAGAAATCCGCCATTGTTTAAGCAGCCACACCGTACTTCCGCTTATTAAATTAGTTTTATTTCAAAGATTCATCTTTTTCTTACGTTAAACTAGCTTAAACCATTAGCTCCGTTAGGGCGAAGCTAGCCCTAGTCCACACACAGCTAATACCCACCTTTGTAAGCGTATCTGTGTTTTTCCAAAATGTCGTTCACCACTCTTTTCATTGTCGATAGCTCTCTGCTATCGCGCCACTGAGGCTTTAACAGTCCAGTAAACTCCATAAAAAAGCGGTTGATTAGTTGTCTGGTGTCGTTCGCCAGCGCCTCATCCCCGGCATGACCGCTGGGGACCTCGGTCTCGCTGCCTGCGTGAAACTCCGGGGTGCACGGCAGAGAGCCGTCCTCCTCCTCGTGGCTGAAGCGTTTAGCAGCAAATCCATTGTGCGGAGACACTTCCAGGTTGCTCGGGCGTTTGGGGCCGTCACCGGACTCTACGTTCCCATTAGCAGAGTCTAACGTGGCGCCAGTTGCGATGTGAGGAGGGGAATCTCCCGGTCCGTAGTGTAATGGTCCATCCACGACTCCATTTTGAGAGAAAAGACAGCCAAAGACAGAGCTGGGGGTTTTCCGTTGAAGCATTTTTGATTAAACTAAAAACACGCCGATTACAAAAAAATAGTGAAAGTTAAATTTGCTGCTAGCTAATTTCTTAAAAGCTAGTCTTCGTTTTTATGATAGTTTTAAAGCGCTGTTCGCTCTAACTACATGGCTCGCTTCCAAAGGCAAAGAAGGCGGAGCAAAATTGAACGCAGGGTTTATATTATTTGCTGACTCCGCCTCTCTGTGACACGTTTCCGTTGTCCTTTTACGGACTCAATACATTGTTTTCTTTGAATTTCTATTAAAATTTAATATACCGACCAAAATATCTCATTTATTAAACATTTACTGTCTTAATTAACATTCAAAGCTGTCATAAACAGAAAACTTAGAGATCCGTAATTTCTTCTTGTTTATGGTCTTTATTAATGGCATCCAGTGAATTCAAATAACCTGAATCTTTGCCATTTGAATCAAATTGATGTCAAAATCTACAATCTAGCCCCATTTAAATAAATGGGGTTTAAAAGTATTGCTCTCTCTGTATGTCATAACTATTAGATTATCTTTTTATTGTACAAGGGAAAATTACTTATTGTAGTATACCACATAAGATAATCACAATGCCAGTTTTTTTTACAGCTGTTGTCTGGGAGTCTTGTTTATTGTCGCCAAGGTGAAGAAATGCCTGGAATTTTCCATACGGTATGTGTATTGACCTATTGACTACTGCCCAATAGTTATACCCCCACCTAGTGGCCGTTGCCTCACCTTTCCATCTTATTAATGTCGATGGTTTTGACACAAACATTTGGAGTTTTATTCCTTAGCTTCTGAATGATTTTATAATCATTTACAAGTGCATGCAGAGGAGATACATCCACATATAATAAATGAATAAGTGAGATGATCAATGATCAAAATGCAAATAATTATTAATGTAAAAGTTTATTTTAAATACTGACAAAAATCCTCTTCTTGTATTCCACACAACAGAAACATATCAAGTACCCCTGTACTTTCTGAAATTTGAAAATGATACTTGTGTTCTCAAGTCAACCTCTTTTTACCCCCCCCCCCCCCCTTTTTTTTTGTTTGTTTTTGTTTTGTTTTTCTTGGAAGGAAGGGTGCTCCTGGTTTTCCTACAGTTGTTTTTCTTTTGGACCAGATTCAAATATACCGATTATCCAATAAGAGAACAAAAGTCCAAAGGAAAGAGGAAAGAAAAGAAATATACTTGCAAAACAAGAAAACATGTAAGGTAAAAGCAGCACAGAAATACTTCAGAGAACATGTTGTCATTTACATTCTGGCACGTAATTATCGTGGCTGAATGACACACACCCCGTTTGTTGGGTTTAAAAGACGCTCTGTTGTTTCTTCTTTTTGAACTGCTCTGTGCAGAGCTAAATGTCAAGTAGCGTTCAAGAGCCCCTATCCACTTTTGTTTCGTGCATTTTCACTTTGCAGCTTCTTTTCTCGTCAGTAAAAATGAATGTTTTAAACCAAATGACACGTTTATTTGATATCACCAATTACAACGATAAAAAATAAAGCATTTCAGAGTTTTCAGCTCTGGCCTCACCACAAATCAGATCAAAACCAATAATGCACTTTTTAAAAGCCACTGAACAGTTTTCTTGAAAGTTAAAAACAATCTCACGTGGAGTCGATTTCGCCACTGAAGCTGGAAAATTTTGCAACGGCGACTCAAGAGAAACAAAAAAAAAATGGATCGGCTTGTTAAAATAAACAGGACAGGTGTTCTTTACAGGGTTTTGTTTTTGGATTTGTCTTTGAATCAGAAGAATTTACACACATTTTTCATATGATACAAATTCACAAAGCCTCTGCGATGCAACAGGTTACAGTAGAAGTAGTGTCAAACCGAGGAGAAAGGAACCACCGGATCAAAATGAGCTCAAGCTACAAAAAAACTCAAAACGTGGGAGGCAAACATCAAAACGTTATATCCTGTTAAAGTCTATTTACAATAGTTTGAACAGAAAATAAGCTTTGCATTCATACAGCACCATAACAGGTCACTTTTCTCTCACTCACTGCAAATTTGACACATTTGAAAGTGAGGTTGCTAAAGTAGTGGTGTCCTATGGTGTAGCCTACATGTTGGAGTGTGAGTTTGTGGAGGTTCCCTGAAGCAGTGATCTACACTTAAGTTTCAAAGAGTGCAAGAATCCAGATGCGATTCTTAAATGTGTGAAGGCTGCACATTCAAAGTCTGGAGACGTGATCGCTCTTCTGACCCGTTTCACAGGTCGAATCACAAGAACAGGTGGGACTTCGGTACATCACACACGCACACTTTGCCCCCTCATCAAGTTATGAAATCTCTCAGCTTTGCTAAGTGTGCTCCTGCAGATATGAAGTGTCCCACATTGCTTCTCAAAGCTGCACTGATCAGGTTGCCATTACTCACTGACAGCCTGACATAAAAGAGCCAAGTGACAGTTTGGGAGGAAAAGAAAAACGTGTATGCCGGGACAGGATCTGTATTCCAAGAAGGTCAAATGTTATTCATTTAGTTAGTGTTTTATAACTGATTTGAGTTTAAGATGTGAAAGTTTTATTATGGGGGAAAAAAAAAAACCCCGATTAGAAATCCCCTTTGGAAAAACTACGGTCCTTAAGGTGGAGCTAAAGTTTTGTAGCTGAAAGGAGGGCGAGCCATCAGGATGGCTATAGCGCTCTTCCCTTCTGCCTCATGAAAACGCAACGCCGTGTCGATGATTCGGTGAAAACACAAGTGTCTCCACCTTCTGCACATACAGCAAAGAATCTCCAAGTGTAAAAATCCCAGAATGAAACCCCCCAGTGATTCCATTTTGAACTACCAGTTCTGGAGGGTGTACTCTCTAGACTTGTCCTCAAAGCACCACGCTTGTCACCAATTACGTGCATTCCTCCCTCACGACCATAACCCTCTCCCCATTAATCCCACGGTTCATGGTGAACACACAACTTGATGCAACTCAAGAACCACCGACCAAAGACTGAAAACAGCAGAGCCCCCAGATTTGGGATAATAAAGCAAAGGTTCTGCTCTGGGCTGCCAACACGCGTGGATGGACTGTCGGGACAGCTAAATGTTCAGACAAGTGTGACTGCGGACATTTGCTCGATTCGTGTCTTCTTTTTGATGCTTTTTATTCACTATGCAGATGTCCCACTGCCATTTAACAAAAAGAGAAGGTCTAGGCTTTTTCTTAAATGTTACAATCATGCAGCATATTTAAAGAGAACAAGAGCAAAGGGAGTAAAACAGAGGCAAAGAAAACACTTGAAATCCCCATTTGCTGCAACTGCAGCGGGTGACCCCAGGTTACTTTGGATAAAAACGTTACCGAAGGGTGAGATGCAAAGTACACTCTGTTCATTTCCCACCAGGGTGTTGGTGGAAAATAAAACAAACACGTTAACTCAAACAGATTTGGTAGATAAGCAAGTATTCACTTCAACACCGACCGCTGAAGCAAGCCACCAGGACAGAAAAAACACATTAAACAAGTTGTGACTATGATACCTAACCCTCTTACAAACAATATTTTGGTGTCATTTAGGATGAAAAAGAACTCAACAGAACTATACAGAATACAAAGTGCATTAACTCACCCCGTCCTACCCTGCCTGATGACACACGCCTACTGTAATGCATCTTGGAATGCTGAAAACCCAAGATATAAGGGAGGCGGCAGAGCAGAGTGCGCAGAGAGGATGGAGATGTGCGTGGTGGAAAGGCAGAGAGGGCTGCAGCCTGTGGCTCCCCCAAACCTCCATCCCTCCCAACTCTCCCCGCTCACACACAAGCAAACGGGAGTCTTAACTTATACAACTCTGCCCGATATGTTAAAGCCAGTGGTGCCTGGGGATGAAAAAGGAAGCAGAAGGAGGGGAGGAGCAGACATATTGGGGACACAGGTGAGGTTGAAGAGGGATGTTTTCCTGGGATCCCCCGGAGTGGGGGTGGGGGGTGCCTTTGAGATGATGAAGGCTAACCAGCTAGCTTGCTGGTCACCAAGGACGACTTCCTCTGTGGCAGATCCTGTGGCGTGGGGATGTGATCACCTGTCACCAGGTTCTTGTCAGGTCCCGCCACCGGAAGCTGCTTATTCTTCATCTTGGCCTTGGCCATGTTGTAGTCGCCCGAGTCAAAATACTTTTGCTGTGAAAGGAAAAGACGAAGGGTTGTTAGATTTAGCATATCTAAAGAGTAAAAGTAAAATCCTGAACAGTAACTGTTGTGGTCAGAACTCAAACTAGGGCTGGGCGATATGGCCTCAAATCTATATAACGATATAATCTGAAGCATGTGCGGTAACGATACATATTGCAATATATTTTTTCCTCTGTTTATATATGTCAAAATGACATTTAAATATCCTCATGTGGCAAATATATGCCACTCGAGGCATATAGGCCTCCTCCTACGCCCACTCCATGCTTGCAGTCACGGCCTTTCTGTTGTCCCAATGTCAGCAGGGTGCACATCTTAGTGACGTCATGTGTTATCGCGGTATTGCGATATAGCCAAAAACTCTATCATTACCCAATTTTATATCGTTTCTCCCTTATATCGTTTATATTGCCCACCCCTAACTCACACCGTAGTAATCAAGCATGATAACACATTTTATTAGCCGTGCTTCAACAATAGGACTTCCGGGAAATTTCTGGGAGGGGTTAAAGTGACCGGGAGATTGATGGTTTGGCCCTTTCAGCCAAAATACACAAGTGTGTCATGAGTGGAGGACCCAGGGAAGTGCAGCGGTTTGGTGGGACCGACAAACAGACGGTCCAATAGTTGCTTTTGGTCTGAAACGTGTTCTTGACTGAGGACTTTAGACAAATGTGAGAGAACAACTTCATTATATTTCTTTTCAAATATCCACAATAGACGTATAGCTACTCTGGTGGAACATTGTTTAGAGGCATAAAAAAGTGTTTTGCTGTTGCAGCTTTACTAACTTTAAAAGTTTTATGTTGACAAAGTACGTGGTACTTTAATCCATTCGGCGGACGGGAGAGCGACTGTGTGGCGTAAAAAAGGAGGTTCTATCCAAGCACCATGAATTACGGGGGGGGGGGGGGGGGGGGTTGGCCATAGAGTTTTTAAGAACAGCAATTTTAAAGCAGCAGTATTTCTTTCCCATTCACTCCGCCTCACCCACAACTCTTCCAATTTTACATTCACTACTCATAGGGCGACTGATATTTCCTACTGAGTTACAACCAATCAGCACGAGTTAACTACTAGTCACACTCAGTGACTCTACCAGACTATTTCCGAGTACATACCCCAGTAGGGCTGCTCGATTATGGCAAAAACAATGATCACGATTTTTGTGACTGAAATTGAGATCACGATTATTTAGGACGATTTTTCAATTAATGTTGATTTATTTGTTTTTATTCAGTCATACAATTGCTCAGGGCACAATCAGGACAAAAATAGATAAGAAACAAGATGATCACTAAAATAACTGCTGATTCCCAGTATAAAAAGGCCAATATACTTGTAGCTCATAGTTTATGACCCAAGGGCTATAGACCTTGGTTTAACTCATTTAAGTCTAACCAGTACAGACCCAAATACCAATATCTTGCAAATACTGACAGCAAGAATTATACAGTGGCATTTATAACAAATACATGCAAATTGATGTTCACAAAATGTTGCATAATATTTATTGAGTCATGTCAATGTGCTGTAGCAGAGTGCACTAGCACCGTGTCCTCAGAGAGATTAGTTATTATTTATCAGCGTGAGGAAGTTATTTCTACCTTATTTATGAACTATTTATTTACAGGTCCATCAGTTAATGTAATAATTGTCCCAACCACAGCTGCACCCCCCCCACCCCCCAACCCGGTCTCAGCAATCAGGGACAAGCTGCACGTGTGTTTAGCGTGCAGCACGCGCACATTTAACCGTTTTTATCGGCTCAGGAGTCCGCAGGTACGGTGTGTGTGTGTCACTCACTATGGTTAATCCAACAAGAAGCCGGCTCTGAGAGCCGTTTCTGTAGCGACCGACACATCACTACATCATTCCCTTTCCTAATGTCCTGAAGAACGGTCCGGAGCGCAGGCGGAGTGTTTAGCTAACCTGCAGGAAATGTCGACGACAGTTATCCAGAAAGTAGCTAAGGGTTACCTGAGATGTTTCTGAAGTGTTCGCCAGGTACATTTTAGATTTAAAAAGTCAAGAAGGGGGTCTGAAACGCTGTTGAAAATAGCGTCAAAGTCGCTAAGCTGGCAACACTGTGGGAGGAGTGCTTCATTTGCAACTCAGGGCAGCGCAAGTGGGAGGAGCAAATAATCGGCCTGTTTTTTCATAATTGTTCAAAACTCAGATCGTAATTGTGATTAAAATTCGATTAATTGAGCAGCCCTATACCCCAGTTCAGATATTCCCTGAAATAGCCTGGGAAAATTGTCCTTTGGGCTGGTCCGGTGAAATAGAAATCTGCAAAGGTCCGGTAAAATCTCCCAGAATGTCAGATGGTGGAAACAGGCCTAATAATGACATCATAATCCCCAAATAAATACGTTTAATTCCCTTCAACATGAAGATACTAGACTATAAATCTGGGTTTTTTCTTTTTTTTTTTGGTGTTCATAATCTTATGGTGAACTACAGTAATCCTTAGATGAATTCTCCCAGAGCCTGCATAGGTACTCCCACTCCTAACCAGTGATTTCCCACAACTATCAGACCAAGTCTCTGCAGCCTACGGAGGTGCAAGTTCTTCAGAGCTTTAACAGTACGAGGAGGTGGAAAGAGCAACAGCTTATCCAGCCACAGAGGGTAGGAGGTGAAAGAGTGAAGCTGAAAGAACCTCATTAAATTGGCCGTTTTTCTACTTCTCCCAACTACAACTCCACTGGACTCTAGTTAAAACGGTTTAATTAGTAAAGACATATTTCCCCCTGTACTTGGGTGGATTTAACCACCAAGCATCAACCAACAGATAACAAAAGCTTGGTTTTTTTTTAACTTTTGCTTTAGATTCATGACATATTTTATCTCATCACTTGAAAGAAAATGAAAAAAGATTTTCTAAGTTAATTTTGAGTCAACAAACATGATTGGTAAAACTAGACCCATCACAATGTTGACATTGACAAACCATGTTGACCCACCCCCTTCTGCAGCCTCTTCATCAGGAAGTCAGAGCCACCAGGTTTCTGGCCCAGGCCGGGGTACTTCGCTTTCAGCTTGATCTCCTCTGCTTTCATCGGGTTTGCATTTTTCTCCTGGGAGTCCTGTAGAGAGAGAAACAAAAATCGGGGTTCAAACACTCTTGTTGCACAAGAAACGATGACTAGACAAAAGGTTTCGTATGACTAGAAAAGCAGGTAATGCCAAAACCATTTGTCTTTACAATCTGCCCACATTTTGAACACATCTACAAAAAAAAACTATTCCAGGAGCACAGGACAATGTCACTTAAGTCACTCCAATCGAGTGTCCCCTCCGGGACAGGGGATCATTGGGTAAGGTTGATGCTTTATCCCTTGCGGTCCAGGTGGTAAGGGTGAGGATGTGCTCACCCCTAAAAAAAAAAAACACTTGGGGTAGGGCTGGGCAATATGGACGACGACCAATCAGCCAATGAACAACAATCGATGTCAGTCAATGGGTCAGTCCACCACATACCACTGAAGAAAAGCAAATACATCCCTTTTCTAAATAAATGACTTAAGTAGGGCTGCAACAACGAATCGATAAATTCGATGAAAATCGATTACTAAAAGCGTTGGCAACGAATTGCGTCATCGATTCGTTGTGTCGCACAACTCTTCCAAAAGCGCCCCCCCCCCTTCCCGCCCGCCGTTGCGCGCAGACCAGAGCAAGTCAGATCAGCGCGAGGGAGAGCCGCAGATCAGCGCGAGGGAGAGCCGGTACCGGCAGATCAGCGCAAGGGAGAGCCGCAGATCAGCGCGAGGGAGAGCCGCAGATCAGCGTGAGGGAGAGCCGGTACCGGCAGATCAGCGCGAGGGAGAGCCACAGATCAGCGTGAGGGAGAGCCGGTACCAGCAGATCAGCGCGAGGGAGAGCTGGCAGACTTGCGCTGCTGCGAACCGGTTCCGCATTGTTGCACAGCGATCCAGGCAGCTGCTTCCAGCGCACGGTCCATTCTCAAAGTGGCGCAACCAAAAAACTATAATTAGCACACGATCGTTCATGTCCGCACATGTTCTCTATTTTCTGTCTTATTTGTGCCTGAAGCTCGCTACTGCGGAGCTCATCACCTGTGCTGTGGTGATGTCACCTCACTGACGCAGCATCGAAAACGCGCTCTGCGCTTTTCGGTCAGGAGATCCCTTTGATCTGCTCAAAAGTAACTGATGAGGTGAAAAGGTAAGAATCCAGGCAACAGATTTTCTGGAGAATTAAGAGGAGATGCAGGAAGATGAGAGACAGACAGGACAGGAAAATAGTTAAATAAAAACAAGAAAACAAAACAAAGTGTTGAAAAGTAAAATATTGGTAGATTTATCTCCACTACACGTTTTTACCAGTAAAAAACAATAAGTTCTACACATGTCATATTTATACATCTGATACAATTCAGATCACCTTCAAAACTCAGTCACACACCCAGGGCCGTTTCAAGACATTTTGGGGGCCAAGGCAAAATGCCCCCCCCCAAATAACTGGGCTCCCCAGAAGCCTCTGTGTAATTCATACCCTCTCCAGTAGTATTAGTTATACAGTGTTTATAAAAGCCCCTCAGACATTACTGACATGTTCTAATATTATCAGATGAAAAACTAAATTATCAGACACGCTGTCTCATCTGCTGCTTTTCTAAACTTGCAAAAAGTAACAAAACCATTTGAAAGCCACTATTTGTGGATTCTCTGAAAGTTTATATGGAGTGTGGGACAACTTATTTTTTCATTGATCCTATCATCTAATCTCACAGCTGATACAAGCATCCTTAATAATCTGTGCACAGGAAGCTTACCAATGCTGTAGTAATACAAAAGGTATAATAATTTATTATTAATAAAACCTTGTTGCAGCACTAAAGCAGAAAAATTAGATTTTGCATTAAATATGCAAAATATTTACATATGAATTGTTTTAGAGCCCTTTAATTGGCAGAATCTGATATTAATTTAGTTCTTACAAAAAATGGGTCCCAACATGGTTTGTGTGGCGTTGACATAGTGTGACGTCATAGGCACAGATCCCCTGTCCTCTTGTTTGGAAATGGAAATATGATCACCCTACATTAAACAAACTGTCCACCCGGGCTTTTGCGCTGCACAGAGACGCTTCGCTGCCTACGACTGAACGTCAGTTGAGAGTCAGTCTCATGCAGACTGACCAATGAAGAGAGGGCCTCAAGTTAAGACCCTCTCCTCATTGGTCAGTCCACACGAGGTGGGTCAAAGGTTACTCTGGGCGGGTTACGTGTTGTCAGGCATTCAAGTATTGAGTATATTTACTGCATATTACAGTAAAATATTCTGTATGTGACCACATTATGGTGATCCTTGGGTCGTGATGATGGAGCCCTTGAATATTGTTGCCCAGGGTACAACAAAGTGTTAATCTGGCCCTGGTTCCGCCGTCACATTCCAGCAGAAACTGGTTGATCACACCGGGGCCAGACTACTAGCATGTGGTTTTACAACCACAATGTCCTCAGAAGCAAAAACGCTTTTAAAAGGGAGGGAGGAGTCCTAACTGTTGCTGCAGGCGTGTTGTGTGAGAGTGCAGTTATATACTGGTTAATATATTTTTGGGTTCAGTTGCTTTCATGTGGCCTAATGTGAGTCTATTTGGGATCATTGGAATGATCAGCAGCATTTCTTGATGTGACTTTATGGCAGTTGCCCAGGGCATCATCGCAAGGAGGATGGCATTCATTTACTTTTGTTTTATTTGGTATTTTTTCAGTCATTTTTGGAAATAGTGATCAATTTTGATTAATTCACAGCCTATGTTTAATTACATTTAAAATAAATGTCAACAGATGAGATCAAACAAAACAGATGAGAATTGCCCTTAAGCTGTTTAACTTGGACCAAGCATTTTAGGTCACAGATAGATGTAGCTTAGGGTCTCTGTCTATACACCTTATAAGACAATTTAGGTGATGGCATGTTGTTTTTCTGCTATTGAACTGTTTTCTAATAATGTTGTGTTAAATAAAGTGAAGGAAGGAGAGAAATAACGTTTCCCTAGCAGTTTTTAAAAATTTCCCCATGTAATCCGATTAATCGATTAATCGTGTCGAGACCCCATCCGATTAATCGATTATCCAAATAATCGTTTGTTGCAGCCCTAGACTTAAGTACCTCTATCTGCTCATGTCTCAAAGAAAAACTAGTCTAAATCGACCAAACTTGATGCCTAAGCTGTTTTAAATGAGCATCATTCCCAAGCTGACGCCATCTTTGTTAATTTTCTCTTTTGCACCTCTAGTGTTAAACCCCCCCAAACAATGGAGAGTGCTGTGATTAGCCCGACACAAAATAGCTCACACCGATGCCACTCCTGAGGGTATAAAGGAGTGTGGCTAGATCGACCTGCAGGTCTACATTTCTAAGCTAGCAAGTGTCAATAAATCATGTGGTTTGAGTAACTGGTTAAAGCTACATATATTTTCCCGCATGAAAGTTCTTCCAAGTGATGCGTGAGAAAAAAAAAGACTTCTTCACAAACAATCACGGTCTAAAAGTGAGGCCTGAGTCAACTTAATAAATATGTAGACATAAAATGTATTCAGTAACTGTGTTTGTAAAGATTTAGGCAGATTTTGGAGAACAGATTTCTACTTTTCAAAATGTGGTCACAAATATTAAAATGTCTTTCACTAAATAAATATCCAAAACTTATTTGTTGATTCTGTTCTTTTACATATGTTTGAATTTTTTTTTGCAGTTTCTTAATTAAATTTGTGTTTCTTACTACCTAAATGTTTTTGAATAATGTAACGGAACTTCTGTAAGTTGTACATCCAGCAAGTCATCTAGGAGGTCGACAGGTGGAAAACCCCAGAGCCGGCCAAAAGAAAAACATGGAAACCTGGAAAAATATGGCGGAGACCAGATATTCAAGAAAGTCAGCTTTTCAAACCTGCACCAAATATTAAGTTTTAAAAACCAGGACTGCATACCAATAATCACAGATTTCCTTAAGTTCCTGTTTTAAAAATTAAATACGTTGATTAGCCAAATTTAAAAACATTTCTTTAAAAAAAACATTAAAAATAATAAAAGTCAAAGTTGCATGAATGTTTCATTACTTTAGTGACACTTATAACTTTGTAACATCTCCTTGTGTACCTCAGTGCTTGCAATGGGAAAAAAAGAACAAGCGTAATACCGGTAAGTATAAAATAAGTTGCAAAACTTCTAGATGCCAAAATATAAATTACCAATTTGAAAAAAAAAGGTTGGATCTGCACCATCAAAAAGACGTAGTTGCAGAGATGCTGCAATTTGTAGTCACTGTCAGGAAAACATCTGGAATTCTCAGGAATAACATCTTGTGCCCCCTTTTTTAAATAAAGTATTTACAATTTTTAAATAGCAGCATGTTTAATGTCTGCATTTAGAGACTGCAAGACGCCCCAAGCCGATTCTTAGAACCCACAGTACAGACAAGAGAGGCCTGAGCTGCTCTAGACTTCCCAGCCAATAACATAGGGAAGGGGACAAAACAAGTGACACACAAAGGTTCGGTCCAACGAATCAAATGACATCTAAGCAACCGTTTTTCCCCACTACACACGTCAAAACCTATGATTAATTATACACGTCTTTTTGGAGACGCGTTATGCCTCTTTGCTATTCTCTCAGCATCTCGAAAACACTTCAGTTGTGCTATTTGATATTAGCCACTTCTTAGCATGTTTTGCGGTTAGCAGCCAAGGATCCCACCTGTTTTTCATCCTCGTAGTCCACCTGTGTGTCCGAGTCGAGATTTTCTGATGACATGGTGTGGTGGACAAGCAGCTGTCCAGCTCGAAGACAACTTAAAGAGCCGATTAAACGAGTTACCGTTTCACAAAACTGCACTGGACCTAATCCTGATTTTCTTAACACGACTGCTCCCCAACAAAAATGGCGTAACGAGATGTGACGTCTTCCTTGGAGGGAGTCAGTCAATTTGTAATTGACATGTGCTTTGACCAATGAGCGCAATCATTTCCTTCCTTTAGCCAATGAGAAACAGCTAACTAGGCCGTGCTGCGTGATTGACAGCTGTTAAACCCAATGAATTTCGGGTAATGCGGGACCGCGCTACACTGCAACAAAAGTAAGTACACGAACAACACAAATTATTAAATTGTTGGACGTTTTACTGTAAAATTACGTTATTCCAAATTCGTAAATGAGCAAAATAAAAAATATAATGTACTATAAGTAGTAGATGTTATTGTTTTGCCTTGCGCCTAAAAGTGGCTCTCTGGTTTCAGCGATTGGCTTCTTGCTAGTGACCGTTACTCCCGCTAATCAAGTAAATGGCAAAAAAAAAAGACTTTTTTACTCGCAATAATTATAGCGAAGTGTTTTTTTTAATTTAGCTCACCCGGTCCATCTTGTAAACATTATCCCCGTGTTGGTTATAAATTAACTTTAAATTTGTCCAAAATCGTTGCCAACAGCCGAGATGTATTAAATTAGCTAGCTTAGCTAGCACACAAAATAGCAACTTGCAAATTAGCAAGGTCAATTACTAGATTTAAACTATTGATCCAGCGTACTTCCCCACATAAATACATTGTTTTTATGTTTTTGCAGGTTTTGTGTTTTTCATCATCTACCAAGGCCATGGCATGCACTCAGCAAGTGAAGTCATCACAGGTAAAAATACTGAATAATATATTTAATACATGATAAATGACCTGCACGTGTATAGCGCCTCTCAGAGTAAGACCACCAAAGCGCTTTACACTACAGTGTATCATTCATCCATTCACACACACATTCACACACTGATGGTGATGAGCTACGATGTAGCCACAGCTGCCCTGGGGCGCACTGACAGAGGCGAGGCTGATGAGCACAGGCGCCACCGGTCCCTCCGATCACCACCAGCAGGCAAGGTGGGCTAAATGTCTTGCCCAAGGTCACAACAGCAGAATTCTCTGTCCGGAGCCGGGATTGAACCTGCAACCTTCCGATTACTGGACAACCCGCTCAATCTTTTGAGCTACTGCTGCCCCAATATAATAATTATAATGAAATTCATAATGAATTTGTTCGTGGTCCTAACACACCTAGGCTCACAGCAAAGTTAGATGTATGAATCGCATTTTAGATTTACATGTATGTGAATGTTTTTCATTAAGAGAGGATTATATTAAAGTAGATCATCTCAAAATGCATGGAATGATTAATATCAAATTAACCATTTTGGCCTCAAGGTTAAGACAAATCTAGAGATATTTCACAGATAATTTGTTATGAATTGTAATTGTCCATCACACCAGTGCATCCAGAAAGTATTCACATAGCATCACTTTTTCACATTTTATGTTGCAGCCTTATTCCATAATGGAAAATAAAACCTCCAAATTTTACAACCAACATCCCATAATGACAGCATGAACAAGATATCTTTGGTGTGTTCTTACTGTGTTTAGTTTCTAATTCCATTTTTGGTTATTTTTAAAACACAGGAAAGGTTTTTCTTTACCTTGCTAACGTTTTGTTTGCCGACTGCAAAACATCCTCAGAGCTGACATGGATGGTGGCGTCACTTCCTACTCCGTTTTACCCGTGGGCAGCAGAGGACGTTGTCGCCCTCAGCTGCCCGCTCTCCCCTCTTCGATGATGCAGCCCCATGCACGATCCAATGTGTAGACTCCATCATCTCTGTTCATGGTCCCACATCCACATCTCCTTATCTCTATAGCTTCTTTTATCCATCTTTTGTTCTTGTTGTTCGGAGTTTATGATCCTTGTGTTGTCCCAGTCCAATTGCATGGTTTTCTCTTGTGCAGTGATCTGTTACGACTGACTTCTTTATTGTACTTTCTGCTTCTTGTTTTGCTGCTCTTGTGTGTCTTCGACTTGTTTCTTTCTCGCACTCCTTTCTATGTTCTATTGTTTGTGTGTTGATTTGGCGTCCGGTTTCTCCTATGTATGTTTTATTGCAGAGTTTGCATGGGATTTCGTAATCAACTCCACATTTAAGTCCAGCTGGTATCTTGCTTTTGGGTGTACTAGTCTGCTTCTAACTGTTGTGTATGGTTTTGTTGGTGTGTTTCTCTTGTGTTTTTTCATGAGTTGGTCTAAATTCCAGATTACTAATCCTATTTCTTAAGGCTAATTTTCTCAGTTAACTATGTCCTGCAGCAGTTTAGTAAAAAGTTCACAACTCTGACATTTCACTAGCTCAACTGATTGTTGCCAACAATCTTTTTCCATGACCTTACTGCAGCAAACACTCTCCACTGGGTGGGACCAGAGGAGAGAGTCTCTTTGAGCCTCTGTTTGTAAATCCAGGATGACCACAGTCAGTGATTAAAATGTTAGCACACATGCTCCTCCCCTTTGTCCTTGTTTCATCTGAAGCCGGGCAAACAAGTGTCTGTCCCGTAAGTCCGCAGCAGTGCAGAGACCGACCCATACCCTCTTTATGCCACCATCACCTAATCTTTTATGAAAAGGACATGATTATGTCACATTACTGCCACTACTGACACCTTATAAACAACCTAATGCTCCCTCATGCCGCCATGGCGTTGTGGCAAATTGACAGCATCGTTTTGTAAAAACGGCTAAAGTCTGTGGCTGTCCAGTGTGACTGGCTCTGCGACAGCTTTTGGAAGACTCTTATGACCAAATTCCGCCTTCAACAGTCTTCAAGCACTACTTGAATGTCTACGACTCCCATCTGCAATTGACTACCCAGGGATTGATGCAAATAACTAGTGACGGGAGTGACTACGAAAGGAAAATTAGCAACAGTGGAAGCTACACGCAGGAACATGTGGACTGCTACTCTTTGGAGTTTGGATCAGTGCAGCGCTCCTCTGTGAGAGCAGGGGTGGGGTGGGGTGGGGTTGCACACCTTCCACTGCTGTTTCTCACCAGTATCAGCTGATGGAGGGCTCTAGTTTTGTTGCGCCGTTCGTGTCAGCAGACACGGTAGGGTCGGGGAGGGGGGCGGGGCATGACGCTTAGCCTGGCGGGTGGCCAAGCAAAGCCTGGGCTTATATAGCGCTGGGGGAAACCCTGCTTCTTGTTCCTGAAACAGGAGCGCCTGAGGTTTTTTCCCTCACAGATCAACTCACAAGGCATTCATTTATACTAGAGACCACTGCAAAGGTGGAGTGGTGGGCACAAAGCAAGTTAATAATTAATTTATATATTTATTATTTATATTTAAGCTCATTGTGGGAGTAACTCCTAGTATTGCTATTATTTATAATCACCATATTTCTGTTTGTTTCAGTGTTTTTAATGTTACAAATGCATGCACCAAACAAAGCGTTCTGGATCATTTCAAACATAAATGGTAGAAGAGAAGAAAAGCTGAATTTAAATAATCAAACAGAATCGGTACAGAAGTGCAGAAACAACGTAGAGTAGGATTTCCAATAACTGAGTCTAAAATGACAAGACTCTGTACACACACATAAAATGAGCTTTTTAAACAACACAAATGAGCAGAACTGTCTCTGATTTGTTTGTTTTACCAATGCAGGTTACTCAGCTGTTGCCTAACGAGGTCGTAACCGAGCAACAATCCCTCATTTTTGTAAAGAAGCTTCTGGCCATTGCAGTTTCTGGCATCACATACCTCAGGGGCATTTTCCCAAAGCGAGCCTATGGGACCAAATATGTTGAAGGTTAGATTACAAGCAACACATCTGGATCTTCACACACAACTGGAAACATATTGTTTCCATGTACTATTTGGAAATATTTATTAGGAAAATTCCCACTTTTCTTGAATCCTATGGCAGATGAGCAGGTGATGATCCTCAAAGGAGAGCGTGACTGTCCTGCTTCTTCTCGGATACTTCAGTGGTAAACTACACTATAGTTCATTTAAGAGTAAATAAACTGGTGCATGTTTGCCAAATAAGAAAAAAGATAATTGCCAACAGATCTAATGATTCTTGTCTTACTGGACTTGTTAATCACTACATGTTAAAAGATGTTGGAGGCAAATTAATTAATGTTTGGATAAAACTTCTAGGATGCAGGGTTGTTTTGACGCCGTTCAGAAGAAATATGTAAGTCACGTTTAACCTTTTTTTATCAGTGAGATCATTTGTGAAATCAGTGCTTTGACAAAGTTTTCATCTTACATAGTTTTTTGGGTTTTTGCTTGTTATGTCACTGAAATGTTTCAGATCACCAAATGTCAATCTAACAAAGAAAATCACAGTAGATATTTAAAAAGTGGCGTTCTTTAATGGCGATGCCATGTAGGCAAATTCTGCAAACCAACCTGGCCTTATGTGAAAAGATAATTAAATTCCTTGTTTTGTTTTGAATTAAATAACAATTAAATTAATTTTTTTTTAGAAAACAGAGGTCAGTTTCACTGGCCAAAGCCTGGTCTGATCTTTAGCAGGCTTGGAGTATTAAGAAATAAAGGCATCAGTTTGACAACGTAAAGTAGACTAAAAGATCTTCTCACATCATGCCTCATTCTAAAGTACAAACGTGTTGTTAATGTGACTGAGCTAGGTAAGCTGGCCGAGGCTAGGGAAGGTTTCCAGGCTCCTCTGGCCCAGCGCGGTCAAAGATCCATGAGGTCGCCGCTGCAGAAGGGATGGTTACCGTGTTCTGTTACCGCAAGTCTGCCGGCTCTCCCTCGCGCTGTTCCTTCATCCGCAACGGCCCTGTGATCAGAGATCTGCAAATCTGCCCCTCCAGCCTTCTGGAGGCAGCTGAGCAATGTGGGTGCATGGATTGGCCCGTCTCCTGGCTGGGAACAGCTGCTAAACGCAGGTGGCTGGCTGCTCCGGGGAAAGCCAAGCTCCACTGCCGCCCGACTTGCCATGCGAGGCTGTAGTTGTTCTGGCTAGCTGTGGAGCTCTCTCTGGAGACCACAGAAACACTAGCAGCTTATTCAGTTATTATTGTGTTCTTTACTTCTGAGTCACTCAATTGTGTTTTTCTGGCTAAAAGTGCCCAAAAACCTCGTAGTTCGTAGCTACCCCCCAGTGGCTCTAAGCTCCGCGTAACTTCGGGTTAGCTCGTAGCTACATGGGGTTTATGGGTATGAATCATTTTCTCCCACACTCTCAGCTTCACCTCTTTTTTCCATTTTTGGATTGTCTGGATGTGACATGATGTGTGACACAGCCAAGATGGCAGCGATGAGAACCGCCCATTTGTCATTGGGTGCGATACATTTTTCTGCCTCTAGACGGTGCCCTCTGAGAAAAAATACACTGGATTTAAGCTTTAAAGAAACTCAACTTAAATGAGTAAAATCAACATTTCAAAACCACTTTTTGATCGTACTCAGATTTTATTTTTCTAATGTTTAAATTAGTTTTTGCTGATCTGAAACATTTGAGCCTGACAAAAAAGGAAAAACTGAAGAAATCTCTTTGTTGACACTAAATAAAACCAGATCAATGCAGAGTGTTTGTTTATACTAACTAATGTGGTCTAAATGTGTTTTCATGTTTTTGTTTTCTACCAGCTGCGGACAGTTATAATATCTGTGAGTGTTACTCATTTTTGATTACTGCCAGTAATTCAAACACAACTTTACGTTCTTATTTTTTCTGTGAAATTACAAAACTAAAGAAATGTTCAGGACGGTGATTCTTGTACATTTGTTATATGTATTTCAGATTTATACCGATCCAGAAAACCCCAAGGTAATTCTTCATGCAGTTGCACAGAAAATGTAACATTATTATCTTTATCTAAACTTATCTGTTCTTACAGCTAGTGACTGAGTTTTACCAGTTTAAAATCCAGTACACCACAAAGGGGACACAGCTGGATTTTGAAAGGTATTTTTGTTTTAGCTCTTGATGATCTAGCTAAGGCATGTCAAAAGTGTGACCCAGAGACCGTTTGCGGCCCTCAAAGTGATTTTGTTGAGCCCCCAACTGCATTTCTAGAATGATGCATTTTGTTTCTTCTAGTAGGCTGTAGATGTAGGGCGATATCCTTACGTTCAAATTTTTGCTAATATGTTCATTTAGAGCCGAGTTAAATTAGAAAATAAAATTGCAATACAATTTTTTTTGCATTTAAAAAAAATAAAAAATCACAATTTTGACGCCAAAAAAGACAGCTCAGTTAATTATTTTGGCCTTCTGTTGAGATTGAGACGTTTTTGTAAATGAAGGACTCGACAGTCTTCAATTAGCTTATTTCACTATAATCACAACAGATAGAATAGTCTGAATAGTCTTCCACTATCTGTGAGGGAAAGTACCAGTCTAAACATCTTTAAGAGTCGCTTAAAACAGCGGCTGAGGGACACACAAACATGTGATCATGTCTAATACTTATATTTTTTATTTGTCCGGGAAAATATTTGGTACAGTATTAAAAGGGAAACAACTGCTAGTGTAATGGGTGAATGTAATCTGACAGTCAGGGCATATGCAGTATCGGGGTTTGTGCAATACAATTGATGTGTTTCCATTATTGCTGTCTATGTTGTTCTCTGTGTCCACTTTCTTTGACATTTGTTTGTGTTAGTATAATGGGATGACTGTTTTTGTCTCTGTCACATGACTTGTAAATACTATCTTTGTATGTTTACACTACTTTGTGTCTAACATCAACCTGCCGGAGGGTCTGCAGATGGAAATTAGCCCAAGGCTATAATCTGGCATATTTACATTTATTGAAATGTTCATTAATATGTATTGCCCCTCTTCCTAAATAAATAAATAGAGTATTAAAGATAAATGTGACAAAGTGGTACACTTAATCTGAAATGACTAATATTTTGCCACAGTAGCTTTTGGGATTTTTTATTTTATTTTATTTTTTTGTGCACTTTGTCCTCAGCAGCAACACCATCCAAAAGGTGTCAACGGAGTCATGTGGAAGCATAAAGAAAGCCAGCATCTTGCTGGTGAGGAAGCTCTACACGCTGATGCAGAACCTGGGTCCTCTGCCTGATAATGTCTGCCTCAACATGAAGCTGGCTTATTACGACGATGGTGAGACAAGCCCAAAGAATGTTTTATTTTCAGTTTAATTGAATTATTAATCAACTCAAGTAATTATTACATGCTAACCACTTTATTTCATGCATATATTCAGATTTTGCAAATAGATGATGTTCTTGTATCCAGGGCTGCGCAGTGGTGCAGTGGTTAAAGCTGTTGCCTTGCAGCAAGAAGGTTCTGGGTTTGCTTCCCGGCCTGGGATCTTTCTGCATGTTTGCATGTTCTCCCTGTGCATGCGTGGGTTCTCTCCGGGTACTCTGGCTTCCTCCCACAGTCCAAAAACATGACTGTTAGGATCATTGTTCTGTTTAAATTGTCCTTAGGTGTGAGTGTGTGTGTGTGTGTGTGTGTGTGTGTGTGTGTGTGCATGATTGTTTGTCCTGTGTGTCTCTGTGTTGCCCTGCGATGGACTGGCTCTCTGTCCAGGGTGTACCCCGCCTGATTGCCCATTGACCGCTGGAGATAGGCACCAGCCCCCCCGCGACCCTACGCGGACAAGCGGGTTCAGAAAATGGATGGATGGATTCTTGTATCCAAGTGTATAATAATCTGGATATATACAGTATTTATACCACATTTGTATACCTTATTTTTCAGCTTGCATTAAACAGTCAGTAGAGGAAAGATAATTCCCTATTTTCAAAGGTCTGGTAAAAGGTTGGGCGATTGGGCACATTTTTGGACCATCTGTGATTTTGGGGGGGGGGGGGGGGGGGTATGATTGTCGGACTGGGTGTGTGTGTGCTGCTGGATTGCTGGCTGTAATGCACGTAACACACAAGTTTGCAATATAAAGAAGGACAACACCTGTCCCCCTTCCAGCTCGGCTGTGTGACTGCACTAACCTGTTCTGTGGGACCGTCACCATGTAACCCTCATGTCCATGCTGTCTCTGGAGGAGCAGACAGTAAACATGATCCTGTAACTTAAAATGAACCAAAGCTTCCTCCCAGTTTCTCTTTAAGCTGAATTTAACATCAGTTTATCATCATGAAACAAAAGAATAAAGTGGAACAAAAACTTCCATCTTCTATTTCTCTCTCCTTTTAACTTTTCTGTGTCCCTAAATAAAAGAGACAGATGATTACGCTGCAGCCACCGTCACTGACCCCGCTCCCTCCCTAAGACCGGATCTCCCGACATCACAACACTCGGTCTGACTGAGCGCTTCTAGGAGAAATAATAATGAAATTATGAAAATAATAATGAAATTATGAAAATAATAATGCGTGTTTGAAGGAGTGTCCTCCGATCCTCTCTCTTGTGTGAGCAGACAATTTCTCTCTCTCTCTCTCTCTCTGTCTCTCTCTCTCTCTCTCTCTCTCTCTCTCTCTCTGTCTGTCACCGATTGAGCGAGCGGAGTGCGCTGAGCGACAACCCGCTCAATTAACATAATTCACGACCCAAATTCAACAGAACCGATCGGGTTTCAGGTTACAACTCCAGCACTCAGCCCTGCAGTACCACATAAAGGCGGAGCAAAGTTTCTTACCCGGTAAATGTGGAGAACACCCATTCTGACAGATCTGGATTCTACACGCTGGTGCCACCGTTAAAAATCCAAAACTACATTCCGCTATGATTGATTATGGTACTCTTCTATGATGCAAAACCGTTTATGCCCGCATCTCATGCATCGATTATTTGATTATTTTCCTCAGCTCTATCCTACACCTCCCGGTCTGCCCTCGGGTGGAGGTGGGGACCGCTTCACACTTTTAAGTGACATCTTATTGACTTCTTTCTCTGTAAGTTTATGTGAGTATTTTCTTTCCCCTATTTCTAGTCACTCCTCCCGACTACCAGCCTCCCGGCTTCAAGGAGGCAGAAGGTGACACCATGGATTTTGAGCAGGAGCCAGTTAGACTAACCATGGGCGAGGTGGCCACCCCATTTCACTGCATTAAGTTTGACATGGCCACTGAGAAACGGAGACTGGAGCAGGTCAAATTTTAGATTTAGTTCTAGAATGTAAGATAGTTAGAAATGTCATTCATGGAAAACATTTTCCTACATTTATGCGATTTCACAACTAAAACAGGCCTTTGGAAAGGGTTTTGACTGCTCTGCTTTAATGCTTACAGGTGGAGGAGATCTCTTCTGTGAAGGAGAAATGGGTTGTGAAGATTGAGGACCAGGGTTTCGTACAGGTTTGCACACAACGCAGACATCAAGCTGTTATTAAAATGCAGAGTGAAGTCTGAAGATAAACTTAGGGAAACACAAATTACTTGTGCTTTATGCTACGAGAGTTCCTGTTTCTGTGCTTTTATCTGTTTGGATCTTTCTTCTTGCCAAACACACATGTGGTCACAGGTGAAAACCATCAGATGCTTAAAGAACAAGTCACCCCCTAAAAGAAACTTACTCCACTCCTACTTCATGTTTGAAAAATGCAACAAATGCTGTTTCCTGGCAGACCGAGAGGGCGGAGCCGCTAACAGATACACACAGGCTGTTTCTCAATATGCACACCACATCAACGATGGCCCAAGGACTGTTCCAGTCCTAAGCATGCATAATGGCAAGTTCGCTCAGAGTTCCCGGATGTGTTCTTGGTCCGCTCATTGTATCGAGGATGCATCAATGCATCCTTCTGCAGACTTGGGACAGCAAAGTTTCCCACAATGCAATGCGTCGCAAACCGTTAAACTACGAACGTCTGAGGAGAAAGCTAATAACTAATGTTTCATATTAGAAATATAAATAAAATAGTTGTCTGTTATTGTAAATAATTGTGTGTAAACTGTAAATTTTGCTGTGTGTTTGGGTTTTACGATCCTTCAAAATGCTAATTAGTTTACCCACTCAAAATAAAAACACCGTAGGTCTGTTCTGATGAAAAAACGTTTTTATTCTTTAAAGAGCCGGAAATGCTAGTATTTTTATAGTTTTGATCATAAGTGGACCAAACATAATACAAATAACACATTTTTGTTGTAATTTAATTATTTAAGGAACAAACGAGACTTTTATTTTTATGTCGGGTCTTTTTTTTTTTAACTGTAGCAAGAAGCAGCACTTGTTGCCAGGACACAACTGAGTACGGTTCTGTTCCAAATGCCGCCCTCGTCCTCCCGTACTCTGTAGAACAGACTTTCTGGTGTCCTTGCCAAGAACATACTTGCCTAGTACACAAGAACATACTAGCATCCTTGAGTATTGAGAAACGGCCAGAAACAGGCTCACAACAGCATTGTGACATCATAATGTACCAGCCAACGTCATAGTGTACCTCTTAGCCAATAGCTGAGGCAGATTGAAATTCAAATGTGGTGCAGAGTTTTTACCTGGCGATGGTGCAACACTGACAGTTTTAGGCAGAATATTTACATTTGAACTAAGACGCACTAAAGTGCCAAATTATTGACTACACGTGTCTACAGCACGATTAGACACTCATTTATATAGTTCATCAGCAAAAAAAGTTGGATTTGGGGTAGACGTGTTCTTTAAGATCGGGGAGCCATGTTAAGTTGAATACGTTTTAATGACCAGTCTGTATAAAGATTTCCTTGATAGGACCCCATCAGATTCTCTAGTTAGATGTTCAGGAAGGGGTTGTGTTGACATTCTCCTTACTGTGAAGTTCAGACGGTATGTTCTTAACTTTCAGAGTCGCGTGCCCGAAGATGTGGAGAAGCCTGACAACCAGAACAGGGATGTGGACAACACAGGTATTTATATAGAATACTATTTGAACTAAAAAAATGTTAATTTAGAAATGAAATAGCCTGTAGGAGGTAGGGGTTGCATGACTCAATTTTTTTTAAAGTCGACAGTCAAGTAATGAAAATCGAGTTGACTTCGACTAGTCGTTGATGACGTCATACACCTGAAGGGGGGGTGGGGGGGGGGGGTCGGTTGGTCCGCTGGAGTTTTTGACAATTAAAATTGCGCCCACATTTTCAAAGTTAAACACGTCTCTTTTAACAACGGTAGTTTCTGCTTCAGCCCTCTCCCCCCTCCCCCTGCGCAGCGGCCGCAAACTCACTGATGCGCCTGCAGCCTCTCACCCCGGGTTTCCACGGGAGCCGTCAGCAGCACGTCTTGCTCGCGTAAGCTGCTGCTTGGCCCTTCCCACGAGACGCGAAGCAGCAGGGGAGCAGCTTTCACCGACTGCGCATGAAGTGACATGAGTGATTTTGTCAGTAAACACAACAACAAGCAGGAGAAAACTACAATATGGCTCCAAAATGTTTGTGTTTTATGTTCTGTCCGTTTTATAATCACCAATACGGACCTGAAAAACAAAGGAGACCGCTAGCTATGTGATAACTTCTCACGGGGCCGCACATTTAGTAACCTTTTTTAAAGTAAAGCAACCGGAAGGCAGTACGTTCTTTATTCTGAAAATCTCTGGATCTTCTCTCCATTTCCGCGTCCGATTTCCTGTCTTTCCTTCCCCAAAAATGTTGAACTTGACCCGTTTCAGAGGCGTCGCGCGTAGAAAATAGAACCGGCGCGTAAAGGCCGCGACATGCTGCTCCTGAGACGCGGCCGACTCGCGCTGCTGACGGCTCTGGTGGAAAAGGTTCTGTTGACCACAGCGGTTCCTATCAGCAGCTATGACGTGCTGCTGCAGTAACGTGCTGCTGACGGCTGCTGTGGAAAGCCGGGGTCAGAGTTCCTGCTGCTCTAAACATTAAAATAATTATTTCATTTTCTGTTCCTCACTTCTGATTAACTTCAATGGTGTCTGTTTGTTGCAACCACCAGGTACAAAAACGAACTTGTTTTTATTTGACTATTTTTCTGTCCTGCCTGTTTATTATCTTCCTGCATCTCCTCTCAGTCCTAAAGAAAAACTGCTACCTGGGTTCATATATATTCACCTTATGAGTTACCTTTGAACTGCAGTTCTAAAAGATCCACCGACCGCAAAAACAGCGGAGTGCGCGCTGCTCGCCGGCCGCAGTGCGTCACTGGAGGACAAAACAGATCAGGCAAAAATAAAAGACAGAAAACATAAAAGGAAATGAGGCGACATGAACGATCGCGTTACATTTGTTTTTGAGTGGTGACACCTGATTTGATAATGTTACTGTGGCCGTGCTCAGGACGCAGATGTCTGGAGCGCGTCAACGATCAGAGCTTTGCATGCGCAAGCTGGTTAAGATCAGGATGGGGTGAGGGGAAGGTAAAATTGCAAGAGGGAAAAGGTCACAATTTGGTTAAATGTTCGTTTTACGGCGGGTGTCAGTACCGACGCTCTGGCACAGCGCGTCGCCTCCGCCTCGATCCAGACGCGCAGGGGCTCGTCACCTGCTGTCTTTTCCGAGGACTGCATCTTGTCATTATCACGTGACAGCGACTAGTCGATGACAGGCATAAAAAGTCACTACAGAGCAGTGAAGTCGACTAGTTCATACAACCCCTAGTAGGAGGTAGAGTAACTACAGAATGTACTCAAGTAGAAGTAAAGATACTTCATAAAACTGGAACACAATTCCACTTTCTGTGACGGTCCGTTGCTTGTTCGATTTAAATCTGTCATGAAATCATACTATTAAAACTTGGTTTTTAGTCTGTGATCAGTTTTCCATTTCTTAAACTTTCTTTTTTTTTAATGTGTGTGTTATTCCTATGCTTCACCTCTAATTTTAGGCAGTTGCTTTTTTTATTATATTTAAAGGTGGGAATTGACCGCGTCAATTACGATGAATTAATATTTAAAAATGCGTTAGAAAATAACCCCTTGAGTCCGAACTCCCCCAATAAGGTGGCGAAAGAGCCTAGCATAAAATCTGTCCTATATATCAAAAATATCATCAAGCTGCACCTCTAAAGAAACTGCAGAGCCTTGACTACAAGACCGTATTAACCTCTTTTACATGCTCCAAACACAACTAAAACTACAATTAAATGCATCATGAAACTTCGCTATTCATAAGGAAAAGAAAGAAAAAAAACTTTTACACTGTTTTATATGTTGTGTAGTTGGTAGAAAGAAGGCAGGCAGTAACTTTATTCATTTGAACATTATTACTGTCATGTTCTGTGTCTCTTTGTTCCCCAGCCCCCTCCTGTTCCCACTCCAGGCTCTCCTCTTGTGTCCTCCTAATCACTCCCTGTTAGTCCCCACTTGATTTTATATTAGTTCCCCTTATCCCTCTAGTTATTAGTTGTTTATATTTGCCCTCAGTCTTTTAGTTTAGTTATCTGTGTTTTATAGGTTTATTTGCCCTCCTGCTTGTTTCTTTCCACCATTTAGATTATTGTATGCACCTGCCTTCCCTCCAGCTCTCACTACTCACACCTGTCACCTGTTCCCCTGATCACCTCCCTCTGTGTTTAAAACCCCTGTCTTGTCCTTCAGTGTTTGTCGGTCCATTGTATGTGTCTGAGCTGTTCTGTTTCCTCCCGTGTTTTTGCCTGAGTCCTTGCTCCTGTTTTTGAACGTCAGTTTTTGTGTTTTAACCGCTGGATTAAACCTCCACCTTAAAAAATGAAGAATTTTACTTCTTTACTTCTGCTCCTGTCTGAGTGATCTGGTGTCCTGCATCTTGGGTTCAAACCTCCTGCCCATCAGCGTGACAATTACAGCAGGAGGGACAAGCACACAAACAGCATTCATCTCGTAACTCACAGCAGAACTTCACCTGAACTCTACACTACACCTCTATAAAAGGTGCTCTGCTGCCACCTAGTGTTCAGTTCAGTACACAATTTTACAGTGTTCCATGTTCATTTACACTTCATCAGTAACACATTAACTAATATTTACACATCCCAAGAAATATCACAATAGTTACCTTTATAATGAGACTAAAGTAATCAAATAGACCTTGTGGTTACAGAGGTGTACTCGTTAAAGTGTGGGTATGTCATCTGTGCCTCACTAACATTAGTTTTAATTTTAAAACTTGCTTGGGTCAGTTCTGCACATCCCCTTAAAAAAAGCTGCTCGATGTCGTGTTTTATTTATATTCATTTTATTAATATTTATGTCACAAAACAAACAGCGTTTTTTTCTCAATGAAGACATTATATATATATATATATCTCATAATATAATCACTCTTAAGGTTGTTATATTGGTGCTTTTGGTAAATAATCTGAGGAAAAACTTTATAATGAATTTTGCTATACATGTATGAAAATGACAAATACCGTAAATCCTCTAATGCAGGCCGGTATTCAATTAAAGGCCGGGTCTCCAATTTTGGCCGGCGTCGGAGTCAGCGGAGGTAAATAATGGCCGGTCTCTTATTGTGGCCGGATGGAATGTGGTAACAAGCAAGTACGAGCGTCCCAGCGGCAGGGTTATAGTCCCCAAATCAACCAGCAGGAGGCAGTAGAAGTTCACGCAGACCTTTTTGTAGGCCTTTTCTTCAACGCTTTGTAACGCTACAGACACGATCCTCTATCACGCTCCTACCACACAGAGTCACGGTGTCAGTTAACCATGCTAATTCAACCCGCTCCACAGAACACACATCACCTTCCCTGTGGCTTACATAACACTCACACAACACGCAAATCAGCACATAGGAACTAGCAGAACGATAGGAAACACATATAACACAATACCCAGAATGCACCTGGCTTACAACCCCAGCCAGGTCATTACACTATCAAGTTCAAAGAGAACGTGCTGATTATGCTGCAGAACACTCTGGGGAGCAGCAGTAGGGGGTGTATGAACTACAGCAATCCCTGGTTTATCGCGGTAGATGCGTTCCAGACCTGGCCGCGATAGGTGAAAATCCACGAAGTAGGGACTCCCAGCATGCCCCTCGCGGGGATTCCCTTCACATCACACCTACGTCACAAACCGCTGCTATAAACGGAAGTCGCCTTTTCAGCTCACCACTCAGTCATCGTTTCTTCAGATTCACGATCAGAGTTTCCAACCTACCGATCAATCCAACGAACTATCAGCTCATAGTAAGTTATCTTACTTACTTCTGGAAAGCCCGGCATTTCCGTGTCACTTCGTTGACGCTCGAACGCTCGGGGGTTTCCCTAGAGCACCGACGCTATCACTTCCGCGTCTGTGAAACCACGCTCCCTATTGAATTATCGTATGATCACATTCTCCTTTTGGGGGTAAAACTCAAGTGCCAGACCGTAGGTACTGACACGCGATCGTTCATGTCGGTTCATTTCCTTTAATGTTTTCTGTCTTTTATTTGCGCCTGATGTGTATCGCTGCTGTGGAGCGGGGCGCATCAACTTGTCCTCCGACGCACAGATCACAGCAGGGAGCGCTCCGCTGTTTTCGCGGTCGGTAGATCTGCCTCCTGAGCACGGCCACAGTAACAATCAGGTGTCGCCACCTCAAAAACTAATTTAACACGCGATCGTTCATGTCAGTTCATTTCCTTTAATGTTTTCTGTCTTTTATTTGCGCCTGATGTGTTTCGCTGCATGCTGTGGAGCGGGACGCTGCGCGCATCACCTTGTCCTCCGACGCACTGATCACTGATACAGCCGCCAAACAGCAAGCGCTCCACTGTTTTTGCGGTCGGTAGATCTTTTAGAACTGCAGTTCAAAGGTAACTCATAAGGTGAATATATATGAACCCAGGTAGCAGTTTTTCTTTAGGATTGAGAGGAGATGCAGGAAGATAATAAACAGACAGGACAGAAAAATAGTCAAATAAAAACAAGTTAGTTTTTGTACCTGCTGGTTGCAACAAACAGACACCATTGAAGGTCATCAGAAGTGAGGAACAGAAAATGAAATAATTATTTTAATGTTTAGAGCAGCAGGAACTCCGAGAGGCTGCAGGCGCATCAGTGAGTTTGCGGCTGCTGCGCAGGGGGAGGGGGGAGAGGGCTGAAGCAGAAACTACCATTGTTAAAAGAAATGTGTTTAACTTTGAAAATGTGGGCGCAATTTTAATTGTCAAAAACTCCAGCGAACCATTAGTTCATTTTGCTCAAATAGAAATAGAGGCCTGCCTCTAATTCTGGCCCTCATTCCAATAAAGGCCTGGAGCTTGATGAGCTTGAGTCAAATACAGGCCCGGGCCTGTATTAGAGGATTTACGGTATACAGATCCTTCTCAAAAAAGTATCATATTGTGATAAAGTTGATTATTGTCTTAATGTACTGATAAACATTAGACTTTCATATATATTAGATTCATTACACACAACTGAAGTAGTGCAAGCCTTTTATTGTTTCTAATATTGACGATTGTGGCATACAGGTCATGAAAACCCAAAATTCCTATCTCAAAAAATTAACATATCATGAAAAGGTTCTCTAAATGAGCTATTAACCTAATCATCTGAATCAACTAATTAACTCTAAACACCTGCAAAAGATTCCTGAGGCTTTTAAAAACTCCCAGCCTGGTTCATTACTCAAAACCACAATCATAGGTAAGACTGCTGACCTGACTGCTGTCCAGAAGATCACCATTGACACCCTCAAGCAAGAGGGTAAGACACTGAAAGAAATTTCTGAACGTATAGGCTATTCCCAAAATGTTGTATCAAGGCACCTCAGTAGGAAGTCTGTGGGAAGGAAAAAGCTTGGCAGAAAACGCTGCACAACGAGAAAAGGTGACCGGACCCTGAGGAAGACTGGAGAAGGACCGATTCCAGACCTTGGGGGACCTGCGGAAGCAGTGGACTGAATCTGGAGTAGAAACATCCACAGCCACCGTGTGCAGTAAATGGGCTACAGGGGCCGCATTCCCCAGGTCAAGCCACTTTTGAACCAGAAACAGCGGCAGAAGCGCCTGACCTGGGCTACAGAGAAGCAGCACTGGACTGTTGTTCAGTGGTCCAAAGTACTTTTTTCGGATGAAAGCAAATTTTGCATGTCATTTGGAAATCAAGGTGCCAGAGTCCAGAGGAAGACTGGGCAGAGGGAAATGCCTGAAGTCTAGTGTCAAGTACCCACAGTCAGTGATGGTCTGGGGTGCCAAGTCAGCTGCTGGTGTTGGTCCACTATGATTTATCAAGGGCAGGGTCAATGCAGTTAGCTATCAGGAGATTTTGGAGCACTTCATGCTTCCATCTGCTGAAAAGCTTTATGGAGATGAAGATTTCATTTTTCAGCACGACCTGGCACCTGCTCACAGTGCCAAAACCACTGGTAAATGGTTTACTGACCATGGTATTACTGTGCTCAATTGGCCTGCCAACTCTCCTGACCTGAACCCCATAGAGAATCTGTTGGACATTGTGAAGAGAAAGTTGAGACACAAGACCCAACGCTCTGGATGAGCTTAAGGCCGCTATTGAAGCATCCTGGGCCTCCATAACACCTCAGCAGTGCCACAGGCTAATTGCCTCCATGCCACGCCGCACTGAAGCAGTCATTTCTGCAAAAGGATTCCCGACCAAGTATTGAGTGCATAACTGAACATAATTATTTGAAGGTTGACTTTTTTTTTTGTATTAAAAACACTTTTCTTTTATTGGTCGGATCTAATATGCTAATTTTTTGAGATAGAAATTTTGGGTTTTCATGAGCTGTATCAATATTAGAAACTATAAAAGGCTTGAACTACTTCAGTTGTGTGTAATGAATCTAATATATGTGAAAGTCTAATGTTTATCAGTACATTACAGACAATAATGAACTTTATCACAATATGCAAATTTTTTTAGAAGGACCTGTGTTTGTGTTTGTTTTGAAACAAGTTGAATGTATCTGTTCTTCTGAATTAAAGAGATCCAGATGAGCATCAGTGAGAGGAACGAGACTTGTGTGGAAGCTGCAGAGGTGCGTGTAGCACAGACAGAGCAATGAACAGGTTCAAGCTGCTATGAGTGATGCTGATCCTGAGAGAAAAATAAAAATCAGAATTCCATATTCAGATAGGCAGAAAAAGACATTATTTTCATAATGGATCATTTCTTCTGTCAGACGGACAATCTGGTGGGGAACAATTCTGATTTGGAGCTCAGGCTGAAGAGGACCAGGAGTGGGCGGATAATCAAGTCCTCAACGGTCAGTTAATCACTTACAGTGTCCGCTTTGTCCCCCCTGCTAATGTTGTGATTATTTAACAATAACACCACATTGATTATCAATATCATGTAGAGCTAAATTATGACAACAAATATGTCACCAATGTCATCTGTATTGAGTCTTCCTGAGTTAAAATGGCCTCAGCTAGGATGGACGATAATTCAATAGTTCAATATATCTATCGATAGACATGTGATGTGACAGGAAAAAAAATGGGTCGATAAAACTTCAATAAAAAGTTTACTTTTTTCATTATAACCTATCAGGTTGCTGCATACTTAGACTCACTACTTACTCTTAACCAATCAAAACCACAGACTCGGGCACGCTACTTCACCAGGCAGAGCATGAGGCAGCAAGGTGTCTCAGCGAGAAGAGGCAGAGAAAAAATACCAAAATAAAATGGCCAGTGTTGCACATAAAATATAGTTTCTACAATTTTTAAAATATTTTTCAATAATTATCGATATCGATCAATATAAAAAAAATGTTATCAATACATTTTTTTTCTATATCGGCCAGCCCTAGCCTCAGCCTTGTTTTTAAACCTTTCACTGGTTTTAATGTGACAAGCCAGTCTGCATTTTTACATGTTCAAGTAAATTCTGCTAAATATATGTATGTGTGTGTGGGCGTGTGTGAGCAGAAAGCTAACAGTGAACAAACCGACAAAGATAAAAATTAACTCACAAGCTGTGTTTCCATTGCCGGAACGTCAGGGTAAATTCTGGAATGGGTAAATTAACCCAGAGATACGATGTACCGGTCCTCTCAGCTGTTGTCTCTCCATTCATATTCAGCCCTTTCAGAACTTTGCACAGACGTCCGCACATTGCGACTGCTTTGGCAGTGAGTGATGTCACTGATCAGCACCTCAAGTGTCCACAGTAACATTAATAATAGGGATGTGTATTGGTGAAATTCTGGCGATGCAATAAGTTTTACGATGCAGGGGAGAAGATACGATATGTCATGATATATTGCGATGCATTCAGCCAGACGACATTAGCGATTTTTTTTAGACTGAAATTATTGCAGGAAAATTTAATAAACAGTCCAAACTGATTCATAACATGTTTAACTCACTCACTGCCAGCCGTTTCCTGATCACTAACGGCCTTCGCTGCCAGCATTTCTCACCGTTTTTACTGTTTTTTTAAGAGTCACAGAACGTTGCGCTAGCATGATGTCGATGCCAAAACAACCAAAACAAAGAGGAGACTCACCTCTTACATCAGGAAGGATCCGTGTGTTTCGAGCGTTATCCGTTCTTTCATAATCCGTTGTCGAATTGTGATCCGCAGACGCTTTTCCGGTTTGCGCCTCACTTTTTTTACAGGAACGGCCCAAAATGATCTCCAAACACATGGATGTGTTGCTTCCTGATCATGTGGTCTGTGACGTATGTGGATGAAGATCGGCTTCAGGGCTGAGATGTTTGTTCTCTCAGCGCGGGGGCTCGTTCCGATGCTCAAACAGTAAAAAAATGCAAATCATTGGCAGTGAACGGTTGGATCTAAAATGACGACTTTAGTCGTCAATGGCAGTGAATGAGTTAACATGAGGTATCTGAACCATAATAGAGGGATTTACATTTCATTGGTGGAAACTAAACCTGTTGCACACTCCTGCCAACTAGCAGTCGGTGTTTAAATTGCACCAAAAAAATAAATAAATACACAAATGTTTGCATGTAAATTCTTCCAACAAATGTATACACAGCTTTTGAATATTGATATAATATTGCAGGAAAAAATATTGCGATATTTTGCCATATCGTTTTTTTCTTACATCTCTAATTAATAACATTAAAAGTTTTATTCTATCCAAGTAAATCATAATTTAATCCATTCAGAGGACGAGAGCAGCTGTGTGATGTAAAATGTGATGTTCAATGACCAGAAGAAGTACAGTTTTTTTCAGCACTCTGAGACAACAAAGCCTCATTAAGAAAGTCATGGGGATATTCCCTGTTTCCCAGTGTTGGGAGTTTAGTAACAGCTGTTGGGGAATTCCTCCCTGTTGTCCGGTGCTGGGAGTTAGATTTTAAGAGGATTTGCGCTTATTTTCTTTTGCTTCCATTCTGTTTCACCAGCGAATCTTCTAATTTACTAAAGCTAGTTGTTTTGGACAATGTCTGATGTTTTTCCTTCTGAATTAAAACTAATCAGCGTGAGTTAACCAAAGGTCCCGCTGAGCTACTCCACCGGGCTGTTTGGAGTACCTACCCCTGATCAGGTACTCCGAATGTTCCTGAAAACAGCCGTTTGGCCGGCCTGGTGAAGTGGAGACACGCACGTGTCGGGAGGTTCCTGTAAATCTACCCTGAAGTTCCGGTAATGGAAACGGACCTACTGTTAAACATAATTATAAACTTGTAAAAGCAGCTAGTTAACAGGAAATCTTTACATGGTGCTTCTCTTAAAGTGGCCTGCTTAAAACACACCTTCATGTTAAACAAGTTTAGAAAATGCGTTAAAAAAATTTAGGCTTCAAGTTTTAAGACAATGTATAAAACAGCTGAATTAAACACAAAAGTGTGGAGCACGGATTTGGGATTCTTCTTGAACTGCGTAGGAGCCCGTTTGTTTCACGTATGAGTCAGCTTTGATCGCTTTTGTTTCTCAGAGTGGGATGATACGGCTCACTAAATGTCAGCAGCGCGCTTCTTCTGTTTTCAGGTTTCAAAGTACAACATCCACTGCAGCCAGGAATCATCAACTGCCTCTGCTATCTGGAAGAGACGCAAATTCAGCGAGCCCAAAGATCACTGCTGACCTCACGTAGTCGCCTCAGACGCATCATTTTGTTGTTGTGTCACCTTAAAAGTTTTAAATGTTTGTCTTTTTAATGAGATTTAAACTCTGTTGTGAAGTTTGGGCTGAAGCAGCGTTAGGTTGTGTTCCTCTTGGCTCGTTTGAATGAGACGTAGTTCCAAAACGTGAAGTTTGCTGTTACCGTTCGTGGTCGTAAAGCTCAAATGTCGATAAAACACAGGTGTTTCTTTGCTTTCATCAAACCTGCTAAATGTTCTGTGTGAAAGAAAACAACAAATAAAAGTTCATTCCCAAAAGTCACTATTTGCATGAGAGGTGTGTTAAATGAAGCCGTTAAGTGAAAGTGGATTATATCTGTACACCGTGACCTTTGGACCCAGATAAAGGTCCGTCAGCAGCCTCTCGCCCGCCGAGCTGTGTGTTTTTAATCTCCCATTGTTTTTCCCAGAGAGAGGGACATTTGTTGATAGACTGCCTTAACCCACTGCAGATCAATACTGCAGGAAGCCTTTGTGATGCATATCCAAGCACCCCCTCCCATGTCTTCAGCACACCAGCAGGGTGAAAAAGACTCCATCAAATCAGTCCCTGCTTCCGAGCAGCAATTTGTTTCTTCACATCCTGTCTTTTTATGAAAAGAAAAGCATAAAGCAGAGATGTTTAGTAGATCTGTGGTGGACCCCCCCACCCCCATTGGTGCTCTTTATGAGCTGTGAAATGAATCAGGGTTTCCTAACATCACAGTCTGACTTTAGTGGCCTTTTTCAGCACATCCTATTAACTTAACGACAGGCTTCTCAGATGCTGAAACATGGTGACGTTAAAGGTTTTGGACAATCAGAATCAAAACGATTCTAAAATATATCAGCTTGCAAGAAAAAGGCTCACTGAGAATGGAAAATAAGAAGTTCGAGCTGTTTTAGTAACAAATAACAAAGCAGTCTGTCCTGAAAGTAAATCAGTGTTTTCGTCGAGCCAAAATCCAATGATTGCGAGAAAAGAAATCTCAGTTCTACTTCACTTCTGCCCTCGATTCCTGCCTTAGATGGTGGAGCTCTTCATCATTTCTGTACAAACACGTCTCCCAGAAATGAATTCAGAAATTAAATTCAGGGACACACATCCAGCAGCCCGTGTTAACAGATCAATCAGCTGGTCAAACAGCAGGAGGGACTGGCCGGACACCTCTGCAGACCAATCGCAGATCTGGGTTCAGCCTGTCTGAGTCGATAACGCTGTTCAGGGGCCTCCTCTGTATGTTCAAGGCAAGACACACTGACAGGCTGATGGACAGACAGCCTCGATCCATCCCTGGGCTCCGTGTAGATTAAAGCCAGCTTCTGTGAGCCTATAGTTGTGGTGCGATGATTGTGCCTGCAGGGCCTATTGGGCCCAAGGGGGGGTTGGACTGTACAGTTGGAGGGGGAGGAGCCTGAAACGGAGTGGACATCCAGCCCAAAGACCGTGACCCTTGTGACCTTGCCAGAAGGCCAGCAAATGTTTCCGAGCTGATTAGTGCTTCCCCAGCAGAGTGTTCCGTTTGCTGTTAGCCCTTTGGAATTAGGTGGGCAGGAGCGTTGGAGGAAAACCAGAGAAAACAAACAATGAGTTGGATTTTATGGAATTCCGTACATTCAAGATAAGGAAGTGAATTTAATCTGGATTTTTTTAATATCCTGCACATTTCAAGAGATCAGTTGTTTTAAATGGGACACCCCCAAGACTTTAGAAAATATCAATATGTTTTCCTTCTCTTTTTTTCTTGCTGACATGTTAATGTGACAGTTTGACTCATTTTTTTTCTAGGGCATCATATGAAGAAGAGTTTTAATTGTAGCCTGACTGAGCATGAGGTGTTATGTTAAATACACCTACAACAATTCAGTTTGCAGAATTAAAGAAACGTCAGAGTAAATATAAATATTTCACCCAAAATGTAAAATTCAGCACAATATAAAAATTAGAATCAGTCACTAAATCTTTCTGATTAGGCAATTTCTCTTACATTAGTTGTAGTTTTGAAGTTAAACATCTGTCAGGGGTGTGTATACTTGACATTAAAAAGGTAGCCATTTGTATTTAAAAGGACTATATTCTGCACAACCACAAGGGGGCGATAAGCAGCCACAGTTAGGCATGCAGGAGTGAGGCTCCATAGATAACCACTGGTTCTTGCTCTCATACTCATCTTTTTGCTCATACATGCCTCAATCAACTCATACAGTTGGCCTTCGCATCGTGCACAATGCAACGCTGCCGAACAAACAACACAAGGCTGTTCAACGTGCCGTTTGAGACATTCTGCAGTGAAGTCGAGAATATTGATCAGAGTACAGAATGATGGGGGGGGGGGGGGGGTTGCGAGCAGGTGGTGGTGGTCCGGCAGATTCAGGGATTTAGTTGCACTCTGTGTACATTTGGATGGAGCAGTGAAGCAGCGAGGGGAACGACACCTTCTTGAAACAGATGCTCAAAGCTATGGGATGTGCTCCCATTGTGATCAGAGTGGACAGCTGAATTGTTTACCACCAAAGGACCCTTTTCTTCAGCAGCAGGCCTGCACACAATAGCCCCCCCTCATACACACACTGAAGATTTCTGTTTGGGAGGGTAGGGGTGAGTGGTACACGTATGTCAAGCAATAGGGAGTATGTCGGGTGAGCCTCCGTCCGTACCCCCTTTTTTCTTTCTCTGTGCTCAGATGGACCTCTGTGCACCCCCTTCTCTACAACGCCACATAAAACTACCGCAGGGCAGGGGTTTAAATGTCACGCTTGGCCATCAGAGCGCCTAGCCCCCGGCTCGTGTCTCATGGGGGAAGCACGCCATGAGACAGGGTGAGGGAGAGCTGAGCGCTAAGGGGAGGGAGACACTTGCCCTCGCCCTATTGTCCATAACGATAGGCATGTGCTGCTAACTGACTCCAAATCAAGTGTATCCTCTCACCATGCGCCCAAGCCTTGTCCTATCTCTGCTCCAACACAAAGACTCTCTGTGTTTTAGTTTTTTTCAACCGTCCATAGGTGAAAGAAGCTTTGGTCATGGTATGTTTGACAGATCCGCTTAAAGGAGAGGCTGCCGAGTCCAAATTCAGCTGGCCACCAGGCTGAATAACAAACACAATTTGTCATCCTTCCACATTGCACTCCAGTGAACTCTCACATGACAAAATCAATGGTAAGTTTTTGCGTTAAAGGGGCTTCACGTGTTAAAGCGAGTAGAGAGGCTAGATAAAGTGTGAGGTGATAAAGTGTCAAGCTGAAATACAAGTACAGCACCAGATATAAAAGCAGCTGGCCAACTTTATCCCAGCCCAAGGTCTGGCCTTTTACTTTACCCACCTACAAGACTGAGTGTTTTATGTATCTATTTGTTCCAAACAGTGGCACACTTGACCTTGAAGGAAGATGTGTGTGTTTGCGGTTTGGCCTGGGAATCATCCCTCCTGTCAGGGACGGCAGGGATTGACCTTGAACCGCTGCCGCGCAGGCGTAGCTGAATGCACAAACTCATTTTACTCCCGGGTTTGTTATCGACATGCTGTAATTGTTAACATTATGGATGATGAATAACTACTGACTGCCTTATACCTGCACAATATGTCACGGTGCCACGCAGCCCCCCAGCCAGCCACGGGCCCACAATGGCAGCGGTGGTCATGTGACCGCACCGTCTCATCACTTAAGCTTGTTGTTCCACTCACTCAAAGCAAGAGCTCATCAAGTGTGTGCCAGCAGAGCACACAGAGGTGCAGAAAAACATAGATCACTTCAGTGCTTTTTTCACACATTTTTTCAAAAACACACATACTTCAATGTGTACTCATAAACGCTCGACCTCTAGTATCAGCTGTTCAGGCATCTGCTGCAGATTTCTTTCTCAGTATTGATCAATCTAAATGGGTGGATTTACTGTAGTTTTTAAAAAAACACACAAGAAGGACAGAAAATATAGCACACAGAACTGGGCAATGAGTTTGGGGTTTTTACTGCAAAAGCAAGTGAATTTGTAAGGTGGGATTGAGATCATAATGAAAAACAATAATAAAGCAGGTGGTTTTTTGTGTGCATGTGTGTGTGTGTGTGTGGGGGGGGGGGGGGGGGGGTTGGAGGACTATGAGGACCTTGATGTTTAAGAAGAATTTGCAGAATGCTCAAACACTTCACTGGGAACCCAAAGTTACCTTACTGAAAAGATTTAAAGGTGCATGAAGAAGAAATTACTTCTTGTGGTCAAATTTGGGTACTGCATCTTTGTGAATTTCATACTGGTTGCCACTTACGGACCAGTGCCATAAGATTCTAGATGACAAGCAAAGACGAGTCACACACAGTAAGTTGATAAGTAGATAAATACATTTTACTGTATGTAATTGAATGTTTACGTTGTTAGCTCAGTGTTAGCCTTTAGCCGTTCTTCCCTGATATTAGAGTAAAACAAAAAGATGCCATTGCTTCTCAGAGGTACAAGAAATAACTTCTGGGCCACTCCTTTTACTGGCTAACATTCTGTCTACAACATTGCTGCTTTTTGCCGGCCAGTGACGAATTACAAATGCTGATGCAGCAGGGTTTGCCAACATAGACTTCCTTCTAACATGACTAATACATTAGACTGTTTGGTGATTATTTCACTATAAAATCCTTACTTACCGTACTTTTAAATAAGCTAAATGAAATACCTTCAGATGGGTTGGAACTAATTAAGAGTTCCTGTGGTAAGTTCTGCACATTTAACCAAACACTAACAGATGAAAAATATGTACCTTTTCATATTTGCTGTGGTTTTGGAAATTGTAGATTATACTCAAAAAATAAAAACTGCATACCTAATCTCACTCTGGTGTTGGACGGTTACACTGAAACAGAATTTCTTCTCATGCAGCTTAGGGGGTCGCCAGTTTTACTCTTTTCAAAAAAGCTAAAGAGGGACATGAGTCTTTGTTTACATTTTGTGAGCATGCAGGTTGCAGAGTCTGTGCCAGCTAATGCTGCGGCGTCTGCATTTGTAATTTGACTGGCCGGGAAAGCAGAGCCTGTTTTGTAAAAATCCTAAGCCAGTAACAAGAGTGACCCAGAAGTTATGTCTTGAATTTCTAAGAAGCCACGGCATCTTTTCTGTTTTACTCTAATATCTGCTACAGGATAACATTAAGCTAACAATGCTAATGGTAAACTAGAAGCAAATAGTTGGCTCAAAAAATATAGCAAGCTACTTTTGAAATGACCAACAACTCAATATTACCGCGAAATGTATTCATCTACTTAACAACTTACTAGCCCACCATGTCAGCAAATCTG